CACCCCTTATGGGAAAACGTGCATGAATTCACATCCATTCAATTAACAACAATGATATATGATAACAAACTTTTTAATATTTAATTATCGTTCTCGGCGAATATATTTTTCTGGCCGAAGTGGGGAGAGGCTTATAACTTCATTCCGGCCCGCAATTACATTGCAGTTTATTTTTTGCCGAGCGGTCTGTGTGGCATTCGCGAACATTTCAACAACTGCAAACATTCGTCATTAGTTAACATTATTCATTCGGATGCCTAGTTTTTCAACGTCTGCCTTTTAATGAAATGCCATGAACTTATTTAGGCAACTATTGTTTGGAAGAACCTTGCTCCATTCAAATGCTAAATTGTCGCTGTCTTCAGCTGAATGATGCTTTGAAGAAAATGGTGAAACGAAAAATATAAGTATATCTAATATTATAGTGAAATTAAATATAAAAACAAGCAGTTTTTATTGCACATCTAATTTTCAAGTTACGTGTCTGTTTATAAATATGTCTACCTAAGTAGGCAATATTCATGGTGTCGAGATTTATGAGACGAATAGAAATACCATTGCAAAAGATAGGCGTCGCTCGGTCGGGGCAGGAAGGATGGTGCCACACTGCCACTCTAAGTTCCTATGTTGTGTACGTGATTACTGTCTAAATATTCCACTTTATTGTGCAATCCTCTCCTTGTCATATGAAGAAGCGAAGCTAGGCACAGCCTGAATAATTTAGTCGGTCGGCGGCGGATCTACCATTTATCCAAATTGTCGCCTCCAACGTGGAAGCAGGGGCGAGAGTTAAAAATGAACGAGCTGTCAGTTTCGCGTCGCGCTCACACCGATTTACTCCAGAAAAAATTGTAACAGTAGAGAAGGGTACTATTTATGTTTGCCGTTTTCAGAGTCAATTTGTAAGCAATCCTGTTTATGTGCTCGTTGCTCGTACAACATCTCTGTCAGTTGTTAAGTTTAGGAGTATTGCTCGTCATCACTGCTGTTCATCAACTTGAACACTACTAAGAAAAAGATAAATTGTGCTATCCATCTGTATACACTACTACGTCTAACTCTTTTGAATATTGTTTTCATTTAAGTCTGCAGATAAGAGCTTTATTTAACTTCACTAATTATGCAAAATAGAAAATTAAATGCTTTCTTGTAGCCGACATACAAACAGTGAGCTTTATTAGTTTCTGTGGAAACGAAATGGCTCATAATTATAGCATTATTTGAATTGGCTTTTCCATAAACAACTATCGCATGTTCAGCAACTATTCAAATGCGGCAAAATTATAATTCGGTGTCTGTTTCTACACAAGTTGAAATAGAATGGTGTAAAGCTGCGTTAACATTTTAGTAAATGCCAAGAACTTTCATTCAACTGATGATAATTAAGATAAGGTATCTAAACAAATAATTTTTGTAACTTGAATTAGAAAAAAATCTTTGCCTTTATTATCCTAACCTAACGTCTTCCTGCAGCACGTGGGTAGGTAGGTCAAGTATAAAATTACAACGAAACCTAATTAGCTAAGATAAATCGAAATTCAAAACTTCAGATTACAAGACTCTATCTAAGTAGCGGTAGATACGTATAGATGAAGCTAAAAATTTACGAATCCTATCAATTTATTTAAAGAATTCACTGTATTCCGAAAAATTATAGGTAGATGATAGATTTTCTTCTCCAACAACCATTTCTACGAAAACCTATAATGTAAAAGGGTACAGGTTCTGTACAGAGGATAACACTATTGCACTGCCATAAAATTGAAGGAGCAGGTAAATCAAATAATAAAGGAAAATTCCATTACAGTCCCAGGTCAGATAGCCGAAGATTTCTCGCGAAAAAGAATTTCATTTCGTTTGTAAGGAAGTTTAAAAGTAGTAAATACCTATATGAAGTATCTATTGTACGTTGGAACTAAGTATTAATTCGTATCAACATTATTTTGTTTTGTGAATTATTTTAACATATCATTTTACAAGCAATTTTCAAAAGGTAAAATGTCGGATACTTGCTGTGTAAAGTCGTGGGCAAGATTCCCGCATCGTAGGGCAAATAAAACACTAATTGATTTTTGTGATTAACGTCTAACATAAGCACAACTGCACTACGTATGTATAATTGTAGGTAGGTACTACTTATGTGTGAGATATATAACAACATAACATCACGCCCTGTATCCCCGAAGGGGTAGGCAGAGGTGCGCATTACGGCACATAAAGCCACTGTACAATGTGACACCCACTTTTTACTATTTATGTTATGAGTCCCATATAATTGGCCTATAGCCTATTGCCATGTACCTACTAGGCATAATTCCAGAATACTGCTACTGAGAATTTTTTGTACCGAGACCCGAGAGCCCTTGCCCAGCACTCGCACTTGCGACCACTGGGCCAACGAGACAGTATGAGATAATATATATTATGTAGGTACCTAAACCATTCGCAACAACAATATAGTTCCTATTTCGATGAAATTGTAAGTTTATTTCTTCACAAATAGCTCATAAGTATTTCAAACCCACTTTATAAGTAGGTAAAGGTAACTACGGTTAGTGAATAGTGCATATAATAATATTAAGTGGGCACCGTTCAAGCATCGCATGTCAAAGTTGGTAACAAATTGGTTTCAGCTGAACACACAGGTAAGTAGGCCGCGATATTTGTTAAACTGATTTAAACTCGTAATGCATTCAATATTCATAAGTTCTGTTAACCGTGTCATTTTAAATTGGTATGGGGACAGTGGGGACTATATTTAGACAGGTAGGTAAGTAAAAAGGTACTCTCATCACCATATCAGCCCCAAAGGTTACGTTCACTGCTGAACGTTGTCTCCAGTTTGCGCAGTGGCTGGGTGGTCCGGTTGCTGTTTAACGTATCGCGAATTCGATTCGCACACGGCACAATTCTTGTCCGAGAACCATAAATTAATGTTTCGGATCTAGGTGTGACGTGTACGTATAGGCACAGAAGGAAATCTAATTGTGTGGCTATTTTTAATAGTTTAAAAAAAGGAGGAGGTATTATGTTCGGCTGATAGTTTTTTTATGAGCCACCGATTACTCCGCTATTTGTAAACCGATTTCTAAAATTCTTGTTTTGTTTTACTCCCGAACGGGTCCCATTTTCATGAGGTCAGGATCTGATGCTGGAATCCTAAAAAAACCGAGGGGAACTTTAGAAAATTGTAGGGGCGAATAATGCGTCTATTGTTTTTCAATAAGGATTTTTAAATACAAAGTATAATTTGATAAGGGTCTGGAATCGACCTGATGATGGAGTCGATACAGTCGATGGAACTCCTGAACGGTTTATAGTAACTGCCTTGTGTTGTTTTGGCTTTATTCATTTAGATTTATGAGAACTTTACACCTAGATGGTGTGGGACTGCCATTAAGGGTCGATGATGAAGAAGTGTAATTGTTAAGGAGAGTCCTCAAGTAACTACCTTGTGTTTGGGCTTGATTACAATAAAAAAAAATCAGTATCTAATTTAATATTCTTATCAACACCGATTTTTGACAATGTCGATGATGCACCAACTCTTCAACTTCCTAGAAAGAAGTTCCCTCATTGGACTAGAGCTTACAAGTAGGTACGAATGCTTCACGGGATCCCTGTATGGTTCAATTCTATACAATTTTAAAAAAATTATTTGGCAAATCACGAGTGACATAGCATTATTTATAAGTACATACATACGTTACGTAAAACTACTTATAAATAATATTCATCGCTGACAAAAGCACTGAAATGATGGTCATCTTACTAGGTGTAATGCGAGGTCTTGAAGAACACGATGAATAATCTATCGCACACACTAGGGACTGGGATGCCGTCTCCTCCTTTTGCGAAGCAGTCATACTGGCTAAGGAAGAGGCGGGACGCGTCAGGCAACGAAGCGCTGCCTCCTCGCAACCCAGCCATCGCAAAGGACACACCGTGCGTCGGGGATCGCGGGACCATCTCTGGCCACCGTAAGCGCGGGCCCCTGCGGACGGCGAGCATGGGTGTCTCCCCGTCCGACCAGAAACAGACCCGAGCGTACGGCGCGTCGCGTTCCGTGCGCGCCTCAAAGAGCTATCAGACCACCACAGATGGGGCCCAACAGGGCCGATGCCGATTCGGAGTCGCGGAGAACCTAACGGGTAACGGGGGCTCCGGCTCGACGTGCAGGAGAAGGAACGGGGTGGTTTTTAGTCAGTAAGAGTCTGACACTCCCTCCCGCCTCACCCAGGCGGGAGCAGTCATTCGATGATTTTCCCCACTTAAAAAAAATCGCGCACACTAGAGCACTACGGGTACACAACGGCTCACTTACAAATTACATTGCTCGCTCGCAGCAAGCAATGATGATTATAATATTAATACTACAAATGCAGATCAGTACCAGCGTTGTTTATTTTCGTAAATAAAAGACATAACTTGTGTTGTTAAAATTTTATTAAATTAATAGTTAATACATCATTATCAAGGCATTAAGGCCACATGAACTAAAGATTACTATTAGAAGTAACTAGCGCAGCTGAGTACATCTAGACTAGCTAGATGTAGGGACATTACAGGATTCAAACCAAATGGGGCCATATCAATAATAGAAGTCACTTTTCTAACTCAAAATACTTATTTGTTACATACATACAATATTAATACAGTATGTTTCATCATTAAATATAACTTTGTGAGTCATCTTAGAGATTGTTTCTAAAAGAAATTCAATCTTCCCTGACTTAAGGCTAAACTGGTAAAGCTAAACTTAGTTATTTGATAAGTTGGTACAGACAAGCATTCTCACACTGCACAAGTGCAATTAATACGATAAAAATAAACAGAAGTGGTTACAAGTAAAATTTACGTGCACCATATTGTGATATTTATTCCAGTCTGTAGTCAAATAAATGCAATATAAACACATTTAATTATACTAGGCAGTATCCCTGGTATGTTTGGTCACCCACTTCCATTTACAATTACTAGTGCTCGAATATACAGGTGATTTAGCATGGACGACGGTCTGGGCCACGGCGACGCGGCGCCGACTTCAAGATGTTGTCGACACGGAGGATCATCTCAGCTGCTTCGGAAGCAGACAGCAGCACCTGACGCTTCACTACGTAAGATTCTGTGATACCCAGTTTTTTCATGTCTCCTACGCGGCCGTTTTGCATGTCTGTGAAATACACATAAATTAATTGACTTCATATTTTTATCATAACCTAATATCATATTTACTGTTACATCTGTACATATGAAAGAAAGTCGTGTTAGTTACACTATTTAGAACTCAAGAACGGCTAAATCGATTTGGATGAATATTGGTGGGAGCTAGCTTAGACCCAGGAAACAAACAAAGAATACTTTTTATCCTAGGATTTCCCAAAAATCCTATGGAAACAGGATTGCGCGTACGAAGTCGCCGGCAGAAGTTAAACATAAGCCTTTTCTGCACAGCATACACATCATTTGATGTAAATTATCTGTACAAAGACAAGACCATTTCATGGTCAATTTGACACAAAGTGTCTCAGAATAAAAGCAGTACCTGCAGTCAACTATTAAATAGTGGAGATTCAGTTGCCATCACAAAAGAGGGAAGATTTCATAGGTAACTTTAAAGGTGCTATAAAAGTTACTTAATTTCCAGGCCTGACAACATCTGGTGTATACTCACACTTTTATGACTTAGTATGATTCACATATTTATTTTTTTAATTATTTTTATTATGACTCACCAAGCCCCATGGTGGTTTCTCCCTGAGCGTGGTGAGCGCGGAGCCTTGAGATGAGATCAGCGGAATCGTAACCAGCGTTGTCGGCGACAGCAGAAGGCAGGCGGCGCAGGGCCACGGCGAATGCCTCGGCCGCTGCAGACTCCTTACCAGCAGTGCGGGCTGCCATACGAGACACGGCTTCCGCCATCAACATCTCGCTAGCACCTGTGTTAAATATAAAGATTAAATAATTCATGTGAACAAAAATATGTCCAGATCATTGGATCAAGGTTGTATAAAATCGTCAAACTATTGAAAAAGTAATGAACCTCAACTATTTTACTCTTAGTGCAAAAACATGGTCATGAGGGAGGGAGAGCCACGCTTCAACAGAGCAGCCCAACCAGAGTCATACCACAGTCTCACCGGAAACATGTGTGAATCAACCCTTCCGACATATGAGTGAAATGTATTATAAAAAATCTTACTAAGTTAAAAAGTACTAATTACCTCCACCATAAACCACTTTAGGTTCCTTGACAGTGGCGGCAAGTACGCAAAGCGCGTCGTGCAGAGATCGTTCAGCCTCATCAATGACTTGCTGTGTGGCACCACGGATTACAATAGTGCAAGCAGAGCCCAGCTCTACTCCAGAGAAACGGATCAGACACTCATCACCAATCAATACCTGGAAATAGACAATAAACATGATCAAGTACTTCTTTTACAAAAATGATGCAATTTGCAAGACATAACATACACTAATATCACCAGAATAAATACTAGGTAATCATGTTAATTTTACCTGTTCAATAACCTTGCAGTGTCCCAGTTTGACTTTGTCGGGTGAGTCGAAAGTGGACACGATTTCTCCTCCAGTGACGAGCGCGAGTCGCTCGATACCGTCGAAATCGGCATGCTCGATAGCCATCACGCCAGCGTCAGCGAACAACTGCTCAGGGTAGTTGTAGATAAGTTGTCTGGTGAAAGGAAAGAAATACAAAATTATAACATGCATCTGCCATCTCCATTTACCAACCACTAAAAAATCAGAGCTAGCAATTTAATGTAAATGGATTTCTGTTCTTGAGATTCAAACAAAGGCCTTATGATTAATTTAGTCAGTTTAGCAGACTTTAGCACTCTTAATTTCATACACATAAATATGGGGTTTGTAAGATATCTTTGTATGTAGTTAGTTATCTAAATTATAACTTCTGATAGCTAAACTTAATAATTAGTCACTGTCTGATATGATGGAACATGGAACTTTTGGGGTATTCCACTTTGCGCACCTAAATGAAGCGCACCCAGACGAAGCGCACCTAAAGTATTCCACTTTGCGCACCTGTGGGTGCGCTTAAAATAAAAATTTTAAATAAATAGTTTTTCTATTCCACGAAGCGCACCTACGAATATCACTCGCATAGTGCGGAGACTAAGAAATAAAAATATCGATATAAGAACATATTTATTATTTAAAAGACTAACTTAAATATCTAACATCTATCAGTTTCATTATAATAATTATAATAACGCTTCATTTAGGTGCGCAAAGTGGAATACCCCGAACTTTTTAGACAGATCTACTGACAAAACAAATACCTAACGTAAAGAATAAACAATATGGATGATGACAGGGTATGAAAATTAAAAATTTAATTAGTCCATAAGTTAGGTAATGAAAAAATATTAGACACGTATTTTTTATTTTGTTGTATAATAAAATAATACTTACATAAAACGAATCAAAGTTTAGGCTTGGGGGCTAAAACGTCATTTCTTAGTCTAAAATGTACTGAGAAGTGACGTCATGCGACATTTCAAATCAATATATCTTCGAAACTATTCGTTTCCGTAAGAAAATAAAATATATGTGTCTAATATTTTTAAATAATCTACCAGACGGACATCAATATAAAAATTAGTTGTCTACCCTTTTCAAAAAATAATTTACCTGTTGATGAACACATTGCACTTGTGAGCCAAGATCTTGTTAACTTTGTCCTTCATCTTTTCCTTTTCAGCTACTTCAAGTTCTGCTATCTTGGCCATAGAGTCTACTTTGATAGTGGAACCAAACACTTTGATCTTGTCTGTGTCCATTGGAGTGTTGGCTATGAGGATGTTGGCATTCTCAATACGCTTAGGTTGATGTACACCCACCTACAATGAGAATTATGTCATTAGTTTGTTATTTGATAGAAGCTTCTGAGTTCTTGAGTGCAGTCTTTCTCTTCAATAGATTGCAATATTGTATCTTTAAATTATAGTTCCAACATAATGCAATAGATTCAATAGCTAGATCATTCTTATTTAGGGATTTTTGTAATATTACATATTCAAATTAACCGCAACATCTACACTTTTAGGAGAGAGAATGGAAAACCAACAATAAATAATATTAAGCACTCAATTTAAAGAATAACTTAAATATTGTATGCACCTTTTTGTTCAACAGGAAACCTTCATCAAGGAAAGATTCCTCCAGGAGACCACCGGAGATCTTGATAATCTGGATAGCTTTCAAGTTGCCAGAGCCCTTAAGACGGAGCACTGCATCTACAGCCAACTTTGTAAAGTGTCTGAAATAATTTAAAAGTAACTTTAAGAAATGGTAACCATATCACCAGCCTTATTTATGTGTTATATTTTTTTACTATATTCGTTATATATTTTGTTATATTTGTTATATATTTTGTTATATTTGTTATATATTTTGTTATATTTGTCATATATATTTTGTTATATTTGTTATATATATTTTGTTACATTTTTGTATTACATATTTTTATTTTTTATTTCTTTACCCAGTTTCATAGTCCTTGAATAAAAAGCAATAGGTACAAAGAATTTATAAACTTACACTTATTGATGAAATCAATGTGCCTTATAAGTTAACTTGATAATAATTATAGTTAACAGAAAATTTGTAACAAAAGACATACATAATAGAAAATTACTTACTCTTTGTGATTTGACAGAATTTTAGAACTTAATGTGGTGCGAGCAATGTTCTCAAGGTCAGCCCGGAGAGCAGCTTCATTGAAATTCTTTTCATGGTCAAAGCTAGAGTCAGCAAGAGCTTGTTTAGCAGCATCTACAGCAATACGCCATCCAGCGATCACAGTCTGGGGGTGGAGCTTCTGTTCAATGAGCTTCTCAGCTTCACGGAGAAGTTCAGCAGCTAAAATGGTTCATTCATGTTAATATCTGACACATAATCAACTATTTCAATAGATTAAAATCTAGTTTATCTATATCTATGTTTATACTATCATCAGGGCCGCGCCGCCCCTGTGTGCGAAGTGTGCGGCGCACACAGGCGCCAAGACAATAGGGGCGCCGTGTCGCGCCACCACCTCGACTTGAATTATTTTTGTTACCTTAATTATTATATTTTTGGTAGTAGAGTATCGATAAGTAAGTAGGTACAATAGGCGCAACATAGGCCTTGTATACAACAAAACTTATATTACGCTTATTAAACAAGTCTCTCAATATTTATGTTTATTATTAATCACGTTTATGGTTTCATTTTACACTTAGGGTTTTAGTTTACATTACTTACGAGTTACAAGATCAACGTTAAAACGGCGGCAGATCTTTTGAACCACAGATAAAGTAGGTACCTACTAGTTATATTGAATCATAAAGGCGCCGACTTTGTATGAGTAAGTATGAGTGAGTTTGTGAACGCAACCCGATGCGATGCGTGCGAGGCTATAGGAGTAGGGTCACAGGGATTCCCGATTTTAACGAACGAGAGAGTCAACCTAAAACAAAACAATTGAACAATCATTTGATTGAAAGTGTGTGTAAGGTGCGCATTGAACTTTTTACTGACTTTAAAAAAATGAGGAGGTACGTATGTTCGGCTGATTGTTTTTTTTTTCAGTACTCCGCCATATGTGAACCGATTTCGAAAAATCTTCTTTTGTTTGAAAGGGTATATATACTCCCGAGATGGTCCCATTTCCATGAGGTCAGGATCTGATGATGGGACCCAAGGGAAACCAAGGGGAACTTTTGAAAATTCTATGGGCGAGTACTGCGTCTATTTTGTTTTTCAATTACGATTTTTAAACACTACAATTTGATAAGGGTCTGGATTTGACCTGATGATGGAGCCGACAGACAGTCGAGGGAACTCCTCAGCGGTTTATATTAACTACCTTGTGTTTGTACTAAATTAATCAAGCCCAAGCAATAAGCCCAAGTTAATAAAAACAGCTGAGGAGTTCTCTCGATTGTCTGTCGGCTCCATCATCAGGTCGACTCCAGACCGTTATCAAATTGTAGTGTTTAAAAATCGTAATTGAAAAACATAATAGACTCATTACTCGCCCCTAAAATTTTCGAAAGTTCTCCTCGGTTCCTCTCGGTTTCCCTAGGATCCCATCATCAGATTCTGAGCTCAAGGAAATGGGACCATTTCGAGAGTATACCCTTTTAAACAAAATAAGATTTTTGGAAATCGGTGTACAAATGGCGGAGTAATGTGCGAACAAACAAAAAAAATCAATCAGCCGAACATAGCACCTCCTGCTTTTTTGAAGTCGGTAAAAAAGAGGCGCTCCATCGATTCCGCACACAGGCGCTGCCGGGGGTCGGCGCGGCCCTGACTATCATTTTAAAAACAGTTTTCAATATTTAAGTAGTAGTAAGAAAGTAAAAAAAAACGAGTCATTACCCAAAACTGTAACAGATGTGGTGCCATCTCCAACTTCATCATCCTGCACTTTTGACATATCAACCAAAATCTTGGCTGCTGGGTTATCAACACCAATGGACTTCAAAATAGTAGCACCGTCATTCGTAACCTCAACCTAAATAAGAATTTAATTTTTAGACCTAATACTTGTGTAAGTTTACTTGAGTATGAACAACATAACAGATCATTAAAAAAAAAAAAATTTCAGTAAAATATATTCACCTGGCCACTATTTCTGCCACAGGATACCAAAATTTTGTCCATACCCTTAGGACCAAGGGTACTTTTCACCAAATCACCAATAGCAATGGCACCAATGAAACTGGACATACGAGCCACCTCGGCTTTTTCTTCTTCCGCCTCATTTTTCAGAATTCTAATAGGGTTGAGTGACACCTGAACAATAATTTCATGTGATCAAGGCACACGTGCGACAAGAACAACGGTTCGAACATTTCCAGATTATTCACAAATCGTTAACATGATTGATGACTAAAATATTGCAAAACGTTCTTCACGTTGTAAATATTTTATACTTTCTTACCATTTTTACTGTTTTTATCCGGTTACTATTTAACACTAATAAAGAAAACCGGCTAAAATAATCCCAGAAATCTACAGGCAAAAACTGACAGAACAAAAAGCAAGCACGTCTTGATATGTTGCCATTACAAAATATTGGTTTATTGTAGCAACATTATCACTAACAAGATAAGGATTTCTATTAACGGCCCTACTGGATATAATTCACTCTGCAGTACTTGCAGTATTGATAGTTTTATCCAAAGAAGTTGAAAAAAGGTGGACATAATGTCACTTAGAAATGATTGAAACATCAAAATGTTAGTGGTCACATCACGCAACAGAATAAGATATTAATTTTATAGTAGCCAGATGCCACAGTAGTTGTTTCAAAAAACTATGTACGTCGTTTTTCAACGTCGTTGGTTTTATCTTTAAAAAACTAATTAAAAGCTTGTAAAATAGTCTTGTCATTCAGTGTATCATGTATGAATAATACTCAACGTTATGATATGGTTAAATGCTTATAAATGAATCCGGTGGTATACCGAATCACGAACATGAAACCGGAAATACATAAAACTTATATAGTCACCCAGCATTAAGTCCGTCATTGTATGTTTTGTATACATAATAAATAATATACAGAAGTGGAATTAATTATAATTTAATTAATTCCACTTCTGTAATTCATTGGTTAATAAAAATATATACGAACGAATCCTCAGTGTCAGCCAAATGTCCAATGCTCAGCGCCAATTCTATCTGTTTATGTCAGGAGAAAATTAGTTTCTAATTAAAATATTATCCAAACGAAAGAAAAGAGACGTAGACGTACATAAAATACAAGGTTAGTACCTACTATATTATACTACCCACCTACCAATTTTTAGTAGGTGGGAGTCAAATATTTTCTTTTGTCAAAGAACATAATTAAATTAACCTTGAAAAAAAAATTTTACTACAGTTTTATGTTGGATATTGGATAGTGAATAGAATACCGAAATGTACACTTTCCTAGGTCCATAAAGCAAGTTACATTTTTTTTTCATAGACTAATAGATGTGCACTTAGGACCAATCAAGAGGTTTGTGTAAATCGAGAGTGATATCTGATTGGTGAAAAAGTAGTAAATTGATTTAGGTACGTAATCGCAATATGACGTCATGAATGTGTCACGCTGTTGATTGTTCTTCTGTCATTCGAGAAAATCGAGAATTTTAATTCGCTAGCCGTACCTTCGCCATATTTATATTGAACATAATCAGAATCCTATATTTCAACTTTTTATATAGTTGCAAAAAGTGTCGAAACTTTCATATTGTGGTATTGGAGTGAGGTTTATCAACACGGTAAAAAATGGAAGACCAAAGTGGAAGCTCCGGACCTAGAGTAAGCGACAAACGTTTGGCTCAAACTCAAGCCAAAGTCGATGAAGTGGTTGGCATTATGCGCGTTAATGTCGAGAAAGTATTGGAGAGGGACCAAAAGTTGTCAGAACTAGACAACCGAGCTGATGCTTTACAGCACGGGGCAGCGCAGTTTGAGCAACAGGCTGGAAAACTGAAACGAAAGTATTGGTGGCAGAATCTGAAAATGATGCTAATTATCGGAGCTATCGGGGCAGTTCTACTTATCATAATCATTGTGTGGGCAACATCCGGGTCAGGCGGCGGCTCTAGCCCCGCTCCCGCCCCGCCTGCTGTCACTGAAACTCCAGCCAACTCTGGACGATAGTCATCTAAATTATCTTTAATACTTTGATATGGAAACATTTATGCTGCTCTTTACAAAATAACGCAAGTTTAGACAAACGAAATGCGACTGAACAGTATGTATGAAATCTATATTTTGTATATTCAACGATTAACCAACGCACACATATTCCTATTGTAAGATATACATCTTGGTAAATGTTTTGATATTTTTCTATAAATTGTATTAAAATAGTACCTAACTGTTGATACCGTTTAAGTGGATCAAATTCACTCATATAAGACTTGTTTACAAATTGTTATACTTCTAAAAAGAGGAATGGAAATTTTAACTATCAAGTGCTGCTTTTGCACAATTTTTGTAATGTATACAACAGTTATAAATATTAATGTATATGTAATTTATAAAGTGGCCAACTTTTGTACAGATTCACTTTGTGATAAGTAGTATTAAATATAAAGATTGTTAATATTCTAAAGCCTGTAGCCTCGGGCATACTGCAACAGCTGGTTTGATGAACAGTTGACACAGCGAACTGATATTTAACTACACAACTTAAATGTGATTGTACTTTGCTTATAGAGGGGGAACCCTATGTAATCACTTGCAAAATTAATATATTGTAATATGTATTAAGTTAGATAAATATGTTATTGGAAACCAGTGTTTGTATAAACAACAACTTGTTTCACATTATGCTTTTTGTTTGATCACTAATTGTGCTGTAAGTTAAAAATTAATTAATTTCCATGTTTGCATAATGTGAATAAAGTGCTACTTGCTGCACAAAACATTTAGTTTTTAATTTATCTTAATATGTAATTAGCACATTTGTAAGTTGGTATTGATTTTTATTATTTAGTTATCAATATGTTTATGCATTTTCAAGATTACTAATTTTAAAGGCAGTTGGGACCAACTTTGCGCTTACTTTACACAGCATCTTAGGTCCAGTTACTAATGGGTCTTGATACAAACTAGTTTGATGTTGTAAGCAAAGTGTATGTAATATCATAATCTTAGTTGTTTTGTATTCTGTAAGAAATAATAAATATATGTATTTCTTCAATATTGTGTGATTTTTGTTGTTCCACAGACAAGTATTTAGTACTTGGTGTGTTGTCTTATCAAAAGTGAATGCTTAAAACTGTTATCTATATTGTAGATGTAGATAAGGAGCCAGTGATTCACATAACAGTCATTTTATGGCCTCAAATGTTTTTGTGTTCATGTGTCACACACTTTATGCACTAGCACCACAATTATAATAATTGTTGTACAATTGACTGAATTGGGTAAAGGGGAAAACAGGAGCATTCCTTTCTGTCATTAACTAGTACTACATATACTGTTAAATTGTATTTTAGAAACAAATCTATCATAATAATATGTATCTCATGAAAGCAGTATAGCCACCTAGTCTCCTATCAAATCAACATAATTTTCTGATAATTCTGATGTTAAGTTTCTACATTTCTAGATTCTTCCTAGAACAGGAAAATTTGACTTATATTCCATTGTAAAGGAAAATTATTTTTCCTCTGTCATGATGCAACAAGTGGCCAAGCTATCCTTCAATTTGACCACTAATGATTAATAAAATATACTTCTCATTAGTGATCATAGGTGGCGCTACTTTGTTTATAAATTCGTTTTCAATGGTTCCGTGGGCGACCGTGGGTCGTTGCATTGTATCACGTGCCGGAAATAACTTCGTTTACTTAAGCACTAACCTGAAGATTCCACAAATGTAACAAGGCCATAAAAAATCAATAGATTAATAATCGCTCGTAGTTTATACCCGAAAACGTATATATGCAGAGATGTTAGTCATTAATTACCTCCCTATATTTAATAACGTATGCGCAGTGCACAGTATTGAGCTTTCAAATACCTACATACATACAAAATATTATGTAGCGACCCTATAGATTCTCTGTAATCCCTTTGCTTACTGCCAAAATAGGTAAAGAATAAAACATTTAACTCTTAAGCAAACAGAGGCAGATGTAAATTGAACTTTATGCGGTTTGGAATAGAGTTGTCACTTAATCAGCAAAAAAGTTGACTAATTAAAAAAAGGGCGCATTTATACTAATTGGTTAACAAAAAAATCATTTAAATTAGTGTTCCTACAATTAATAAATTTGTAGTTGAACTAAACTTTTTGCTTGCGATAAGATAATCTGGTCCAGCAGTGTTATGTAGGCGGTATTTACTGAGTTTAACACCTACATAACGATAATGCTATGTCCTTTTATGGAAATCTATCTGGCCAGAGAACATCACGCATACAAACTGGATATCTTACTCATTTAAAAAAATGCCCCCACTATTAGGTAGGTACAGACTATTGAGGTACACCTTTTCGATTTCACAAACGCACGACACCTACACCCGGAACAATAATTTGTGAATCACACAGTTACTTCGTCTCCGTGCGGGAATCGAACCAGTCACACGTTGCTCGGCAGGCGATACTTTGGCCATTGCGTCAATCGTGCAGGGTGCAGTCAAATATTTTACCCTTTGACCGTCAGCGCTATGTAAAAGTACCTATTTGATCTCCAACGCCGCACCGTGACCATTTTCCAAACTATTATTTTTTGTTCGATTGTTTAGTGATGTGCAACACGTAGGTAAAATATATAGCCTATTAGGTAACAGCCTAACAGGTATTTTTTAGGCCTAACAGGTTATTATTATATAATTAGATATATCAATGTTAAGCTTGCGTTTAAACTTATCAGTCTATTATTAAGAAAAAAATAATAATGTATTGTTTAAAAACCAACTGATATCTAACTATACAAATATTATAATTTCAAATATGTAGCTAAAGTTTTGTTATCTTTTTTTATAAATGCGTCAAATTTTGGCAGCACTGTAGGTAACTAATACTGAGAAGTGTTGTTACTTTATCTATAGGTACTATAGACTGTCATTTAACATACAATTCTTATTTAATTAAAATTATAGTTAACATTGCAAATAATAAGATAATTTATCAGAACTTTGGTATGGTAGTCGAATGACTTTGATTCATAATATTACACGTTATATTGTATGAAATAAAATACATCTAAATACCTCACAAATGTCATCATCTTCCTCTTCATCGAGTAAGTGTTGTACAAGTTTGTAATTGGACATCATTTTGATAAGTAGAATTAAATAACGTTACGCACAACACGATACAGCAGGTAATGTTAAATATAGTAAATAGACTAAACTATCTAGCTCAGTTGGTATATGTAGGTAAAATTTAGATTTTAAGGCAAATAAAATAAACTACCCGCATGTCACAACACTACTAAGAATATAAAGGCAGAAATATATTGCCGTGGCGGGGCGGTTTCATACATTTACTATAGCTAAACCACTCATATGATAAAACATCTAGGAGTTAAACACGTGGCCACGGCGGACCGTCTACGAAAGTAAATGCCATCAAATATCGCATTTAATAAGACAAATAAGATAATTCATCGTACCAGCCACAATACGAAGAAGTAGACGACACTACTGAACACAGGCGTTCCCCAATATGCTAATTAGACTTCAAAAAAAAAATTAATAATCTATTCTATTTAATTAATTTAATGAATAGGAATCTCTATTCATTTTATAGCCCACATATTTTTTTCTCCGGGGTTTTTTTACTGGTGATAATGGGACGGTTTTTGGCCACCATCTCGCCTAGTGCAGGCAGTGAAGCGGCGGCCTGGAGCACCAGCACGCCTGTCCATAAACAACATATTCACTCGGGACTAACTTGAAAAATGCATTAACATTTCTAAAAACATCGATGATAACTCGCATTATAATATTATGTATTGAATTGACCCCGTTGATTCCGGATCACTGGCGTCATATTTAATCACGTTTCACATTTCTGTCTGACTTTCCGTCGTAATGGTTGCAGTGATGTTAATTTCTAAAAATAAACCACACGCCAAGGCAACATCCAAGTCAAATGATTTATACAAGCGTGCAAATGTGTACGCAATCAATTTACCCTCGCATATCTGTGGGCTCTGAGTACCTACATAGTAACTGTTTGATTATAGGTACCTACATAATGTGCATGGCAATTTGAAGTAGGTACCTACATACATTATAATAAAGGCTAGTAGCACAACAGGGTGATCAGCATCTACGCAGCGTAATGCTTTATGTCTTCATAACCTACCTGTTGCTTGTACCTACACTTTATCGTGTGTTTTTTGCGTACCAAACAACACCGACATAGGTACAGTTCCTATAACCAGGCCAGGTAATTAATTATGTAGTTTTTCATATATTTCAAATAACTAGGAGACTGGCTACATTTTGAATAGAAACCCTTTTGATTAAGTACATAAATGTCACTTACCTAGTTGAAGCACACTAGCCATTGGCCCTTTGGGAAATAATTTAACATTAACATGATGTTATTTGGAAAATAATTTGTAATTCATCATCACCGAATATAGCAACAATATCATTTGTTTACAATGCGATGGTGACCTAGGTCAGTGCATGATGAGTTAACTGATTATGATGTCTTTATACCTATGTTCTGTGATGTCACCATACTGGGTGCACTATAACGTTTAGGAAATATTATACTATCAATATCGCTTGTTTTTTCCAAAGAAATTCGAGAACTTTTATTGGGACTATAGGTACAATTAATATACAATAGATATTTTCTAAAGTTTTTTCTTGGATGTTGGATATTACATATTTCAGGGACTTGTAAATTGTAACACATTTTTGATCGGCATTGTGTAAAAGCAACCAATAACAGCGTCTAATAAAATCGATATTGCTAGTTTGGCCATGCTTGCGATACACACACGATTGTGTAAAACTGCAGTAGCAGTAAGTAACAATGTTGAATAACCGGCTATGCTGTATGTACTGTTTCGTCGTAATTATAATTAATTGCGTTAATTGGCGCACAGCAAAAACATGAGCATTGTGTGGTCTTGGTACCTACCACGTGGTCTAAAAATAACTGGTTACCTTATCTTGTTTTCTGGTAAAATCATGGTCCAGACATACCTACTTCTGTGTCTACATAATTAGCTATGTAACGTGTTGGTACCTGTATATAGGTATACATAAATGTAACGCGGTTAGGACAAGTCCTGTACCTATGTCAGTCTTCTTTGAATTTTTAAAGCATTCAGAAAGACATCCCAGTTTCTGTAGTGATTATTTACTAGGTACTATATCGTCTTTTCCATTAGGCCACTCGGGGCCCGTGCCCAGGCCAATTTTTAGGACGGACCGACGGGCCCGCTACACGTTGCGCGGCAACCGGCTGTCCCGCAACGTGCAGCGAGTTTGATTCCCGCACGGAACAAATCTTTGTGTGATCCACAAATTTTTGTTTCGGGTCTGGATGTCATTTGTATGTGATCTCGTATGTTTGTAAATGCACTCACGATACAGGAGAATATCCTAGTGTGGGGCAACGTTAAAAAAAGAAACTTTTCAATAGGGCCCCGACTTAAGGTGTGCGGAGGGTACCCTAGCGTAGTGGAGGACGGCCCTGACTACCTAGTCCTACCTTTATAGACATAAAATATAATTATGGACATAAAACTGTCAAATACTAGTGTCTTGTAATTACCTAAGTATTAATTAGTTAGTAGGTAAATCGAAATTAAAAACTGAAGTTAATACATATTGGTAAAGTTTAGATTTGTTATTAAGAAACTCTGTATTTAAAAATAAAAAATCTTATTCTCGTATGACCTATAATAAGTGCCTACTTAGGTACTAATGCCAACGTGATTGTGTTGTGGCAATAATTTCAAAAACAAACGAACTTCACAAGGCATCCGAGTCAGGCTTCAGTGGTGACGTCATAACTCTTTCAAACTGCCTGAAGCAATCAGGGCTGCTTACGTCAGGCCCTGTTGTTAGCAAATATAGGTGAATAAGTACCTAACTATGTAGGTAGGTTAGGTAGGTACGTAGTATCGACCATTTATGGAGGGCATTAGTTTCCGAACTCCAGTTTTGTAACTAGGTACCTTAGAATCCTTACTAATATTATAAATTGGAAAGTGAGTTTGTTTGTTTGTTCCGCTTTCACGCCGTAACTACTAAACCGATTGCATTGAATTTTTGCAGACGTAAAGTTAGAAGTCTGGACTCTGGATTAAATAATAGGGTACGTTTTATCCCGGAAAAAATTGATATTCCCGAGGGACAACAAAAGTATTGGTATAGATGGCGCTGTGTGTATTGATATAATTATGTCACATAGGCTACTTATTATCCTTTTTTGACGCGAGCGAAGCCGCGGGTGAAAGCTAGTTATGAATATTATGAGGTCATCCCGTCATCGACTGCTGTACGAGACAAATAGGGAAAGAAATATTTAAAATGATAATGACGTGTTTTATTTGTCCTTATTTACTTTAAATTAGCTTAGTAACTACATTATTCAATATAAAGTCATGTAACAAAATAATTATCCTACAGATCCTACCTACGAACGGAGTTAGTTATAGACAGGAAAATAAAATATGTAGTCTCTGTTTCTTTCAAATATCGAAGTTATTCTGTACCTAACTCAATTTACTTGTTTTGTAGGTAATGATTTCCTACTTGACTATGAAAATATTGTAAACGTGGTATTTTTATAATTAATTTATTAAACTAAACTTTTTTGACTTTGACTTTGACTTTGATAGATTAAGTTAAAACTTTAGACACGAATATTTTTATTTTCTCACAAATTTAAATACTTTCAACGATATATTAATTTGAAATATTGTGTGACGTCACAGCGTGCCACAATTTGGAGCACGTTCTGACGTAACGATCTCCCACTCCTAAATTTTGCGGCATTTTATCTAAGTATTGCAACTTAATACGAGAAAATAAAAAAATACGTGTCTAATATTTTTTCATTACCTAGGTATCTAACTGACGGACCAATTAGATTTTTAATGTTAATACCCTGGACACTACCCAATTTCAAATAAGATAAAACAAATAACAATAAAGCAATGGACCATTGGTTACCTCATTCCCTTGTCCGCTGTCAATGTGAAATCACGCGCACATATCAAGTGTCATCGAAACTTTATAGGCTTGTGAGGAAAAATGCGGAAGGCGACGTTGACGACTGACCACTGTTCCGCTTTCCGCTCTGCTTACCACCTCCTGCGCAGCGTGAGTGTGACAAAATGAACCTAGCCTTGATCTTAGCTAGACTATTCGTCACACTTTGTTATTCAATACCTAATCTATATAATGAAATGACCTTGACAGAGTACGGGGAACAGATCCTGAAGCTAATCCCCGAACCCATTCAGAACAACTCTTAGAATAGTGATCCTCATTATACGAACCACTACACAATGAAAATGTTTGTGTAAATGTTATTAAAAAATAGTATGACGAACTATATGACGTCATTAAGCAATGCCATTTGAATATTGAGACGGAAATTGCGTTCGGTTGGCTCGCAAATGTACTGAAATGTTTATTTGTTTCAAATGTGTTTTATGCTGTTTACATTTTGTTGTTGCCTTCAAAGCTGAAATCTGTCTTGTACGTGATTTATTGCGAAATACATCTAGCATTTACATAAAAGTCTAAATGTTTGGCCGTTTCGATGTGGACGCAATATCTACGCAACACGTTCGGATTAGAGGCATTGTTGATATAAAAAGGTAAAAATAGTTTTTCCAACCTCATGAAACTGTAGCTCAGTTAATCTAAATTCCTTGTTCTTATGATACCACAGTAAGCTTCGTTTTCTCTTCTTATTTTTTATATTGCACCATTTTATTGGCAAAGTTGATTTGTTATACAAAGTCGGTACAGGTATGCAAGATAAGAAACAATGATTGCTGTTAATTAACATTATCAATCAAGAATCTAGACAATCTCGACTGAACTGTCCTGTTATCATCACGTGTTTAAGTAAGTACCTACTGGCTAAGTACAGCATAATTATTCTCATTGTTCTAAAAGAATATCAGTTTGTGTGTCTGTTTAAAATTATTTTAATTGAATGGTGCTTTTCTCAGAAGGAATTGTAACCAATGGAATTACACTTACAACCTTCAATTAACTATATAGTGTGTTCAAATTCTAAGAATATAATTTGCTCATCTAAATATGGCTTCTTTGGAAATGAGAAA